AGGTGTTTGATATTCAGACAGATACTGATGTTAAGCTTAACAGCTTATGTTCTAGGGTAATAATATTATTAAGCTTCTCTTCTGAAGCATTAACATTTTAAGTTTGCAGACCAAAAAATTAGAGAAAAAGAGGGGTTACAAGGATAGCTAACATTTTGGTCTTAATTATTCAAGGTCAGTGAGGACTCAGGACTTAAGAGAAACTTCTAACTCAGTAATGTCCCAAATTTTCTGTTCAAAGAGATTATGGGGCCACAGAAGAAAGTTATCAAAGATGTAAAGTGTGCCTAAGGAGAGTCACCTAGAAAGAAAACATTCTCTCAGGTTTTCATCAAGTATAAATTGGTCAAGCAATGGCTGTAACTCATCCACATGGTTGACACTGACAAAAGATCTACAAACTGTTGTACAGGGTTTCAGATTAAGTCTTGAGGTCATATTTTATTTTTATTTATCTAAATACAATATACATGAGGGCCAGCCAGATAGCTCAGCAGACTAAAATGCCTGCTTAGACAGGCGCAGACATGGGGTTTATTTTCCAGTGTGCAATGCCAGCCCTGGTTCTGGGGCATGCTGAGATGGCAGCTGAGACTGTACAAGGTGACATGCCTTTGTAATCCCATCAGTTGTGAGGCTGTAAACAGGAGTCTGGTCTGTATAGTGAAATCCTGTAGATCTTATACTAAGTACATATAAAAAAGTACAATATACATGAATAAATAACCCGATGATGGTGAAACTTTTAGAACCTTTGATGATACAAGAAGACTGCTGCATTACATGTGCTACAAGTTCACCATCTCTGAAGTGGGCAAAATAATTCAAATATACAAATTTAGCTTTAAGATGATAATAGCTCACAAATAGAATGCAGTAGAATATTTATATAGTAAAGGACACATGCTGAAAACTTAACCTAAAGGTTTTAAGAGTAAGAAAGAACATGATGAGTGGAAAAATGTTTAATGATGGATAAAAGAACACTACACAAAATATTATTGTAAAAAATAGTTTGAAATTATCTAAAGAATACCAAACTGTCAAAGCCCTGAAAAAATAAAGAAAAGGAAGAATGTCAGAAAACTGTTAACATTATGGAGACTTGTTCATTTCCATTACACAATGAAATAGAATATTTATTTGCTTGAGAAATTGGCAACCCTATGTATTATATTAACAAAGGCTTTTTTTACTTGTTGATTCCGCAAGGTATAGATAAAAGGATTCAAAAGTGGAGCCACTGAAGTATTAAGAACTGAAATTCCTTTGGACAAAGATATTTTTTGTTTGACTGATGGTTTCACATACATGAAGATGCAGCTACCATAGGATAGGGATATGACAATCATGTGTGAAGAGCATGTGGAAAATGCCTTTTTTTTCTGACTTGTTGAAGGGATTTTTAAAATAGTTAGGGCAATGAATGTGTAGGATATTATCACCATCACCAGTGTGATTAAGAGTGTCACCAATGCTGAGACAAAACCCATCATCTCCAGAAGGTGAGTGTCTGTACAGGAGATCTGCAGGAGGGGTGTGGTGTCACAGTAGAAATGATCCACAATGTTGGAGGAACAGAATTCAAGATTTATGCCTAAAAGCAGTGGTGGAAAGATGACCAAAAAACCAGCAAGCCAACAGCTGAGAACAAGCATGGTGCAGATTCTGCTGTTCATGATGGTGGTGTAATGCAGGGGTTTACAGATGGCCACATAGCGGTCATAGGACATAGCTGCCAGCAAGTAAAACTCTGATGCTCCAAGTAGAAAGGCAAAAAATACTTGAGTTACACAATTATTATAAGAAATAGTTTTGTCCCCAGTTGCCATAGAAACTAGTAATTTAGGAATACATGTGGTAGTATATGAAATTTCTAAGAAGGAAAAATTCCGAAGGAAAAAATACATGGGAGTCTTAAGGTGAATATCCACTAGGGTAAGTGTGATGATTATCAGATTTCCTGTGATGCTGAGCAAATAGGTAAGAAGCAGGAATATAAATAGCACAGCTTTTAATTTTGGGTCATCAGTCAAGCCTGCTAAGATGAACACTGTTACTCTTGTGTGGTTTCCCATGATGTCAGTTTGAGTTTACCAGGTCTGACTAGAAAAACAAACAATTAACAGCAATTTCAACAGAGAAATAACCATCAATACTATGATTAAGCTAATGTTAGCAATGGCAGAGTGGTGCTTCAGGAAAAATATTTGTGTTTTTAGAGTATCTGGACAAACAAAACATTATTTTGCAATTCTACTGGAAAATAATTCATGTAATGTAAATGTTACCCCTTTATGAATAAGTTAGAGGGAAATGAAAATCACTTGAAAACAGAAAAATATTTTTTTTTCTTGATTATACATAAGAGTTGTCATGATATATCAATTTCATGTTCAATTAAAGAGGTTTAATCAAATAAAACCGAAGAAATTTCTAAAGTAAAAAATGTGGTGTTATTTGATACCTTATTGCTCACTGAGAAACAGCAACAACCCATACAGATTTCTTAGTTATATAGTGTGAACTCTTAATATAAGATTCTAACTTTAAGTAAACCTGGGTAAGATATATAAAATTAATAATTTTACAATGTATTCTTGTAATGAAACCTCAAATGTATCTCATAAATATGTAATTTTATTTTTCTTAAAAAATGAAAAAATTATATTGCCCTTGCAACTTTTGTGTGAATCTAAGATTATTCCATAATAAAAATATGTTTAAAAAAATATAAACACACACACACACACACACACACACACATACCACTCTCCTTCTTAACACACAGGGTCAGACACTGTATCATTTGATTCAATTATTTGAGCCCAAATGCCTGATTTTCATCTCATGTACTTCATGGCTGAGGTTCAGTTTCAAATTAGTGACAATCAAGCATAGGATATAATATAATTTCTTCTTATTAATATTTTCACTGCTTAAATCTCTGTTGACACATGCCTTCTTCCACCTTGTAGCACAACGAATGACAATGAAGAATCTAATAACATAAGGGCATGCAGAGGGTTTAGTTGTTAGCATGGAATAAGTTAGACATGTAGTGTAATATAGGGACATAAAATCATGTATTCAGGGGCTGGGGAGATAGCTCAGTAGAAAAAGCACTTGCCTGGCAAGCGCAAGGGCTTGAGTTCAATCCCTGGATCCGTGAAAATAAATAAAGAAAGAAAGAAAATAAAGAAAAAGATAGTTTTGTCAACTTATATGGCATGGTGGAAGCAAAGATAACATTGCATGGAACATTAGAGAGATAAGGAGAAACCCTATAGATGGAATAATGAGCTTAATGAAAAATTTAAAATGAGGTTACATGTACATCAATAAGGAAGTAAATATTGTAAAGAAAGAAATATGCAGTAATAAAATTTCTTTCCATCTCCTTCTAGGTCTTTTAGGTACCTTTTGGTTTGCTGTCTATGGATACTGAAACATGACCAGTATCTAGTTCAGTGGCTAAAAACGAATTTTTTATGTTTCAAAAGAAGAATCAAAAATAGCATTGGCACAAATTTTGGGGCTTGTTTTCTCTGTCTGAAGAATATTCAAGTATCCATTTAACATAAAATTAAACATGTATTAAGATAAACAAAGATAAATTTTTTAATTTAGCACATTTCAAGGAAACAAAATTAAGAAATAAAAACATTATCTACATTTGCACTGCAAGTACTCTGGATATCTAGTACTAAGTTTAATAGTATCTTTATTGAAAAGTTCTTATCTTGATATCAACATCATGTAACACAAAATGATTATGTTTTCATGATAGGCTTGGCATTCTAATGACAATATGCTTGTTCTTTGGAATATCAATATAATTATTTGTAACCTGAAAACTACATTATTACTAAGAAAGCATGTAGAAAAATTGGATTGATCTATGGCATACACTTATAATCTCAGCAGAATGAGAGATTGAGGTAGACACTCAACTTGTCTGACAATTAAGTAATTTGGAGCGACCCTGTCTTACATTTAAAATAATAACAATTAATAATAATAATGTTCATGTCTTCATAAATATAGCTCCTTATGAAGGCACTGGGCATGATTACATGTACTAAAATAAAGAAGAAGGAAAAGAAGGAATAAATGAAAGAAAGAATAAATGAAGGAAAAGATTACAAAAGGAAACAATATATAAAATAGGTCTTACTGGGAGAAAAAAAAATGGTATGTGGTATTTCAAGAAGAGAGATCAGCTTACAGAAAATTAAGCCAAGGGCACATTTATAATTTCTTTAAAATAAACTTTTAAGTTTGAGAGAAGCATACATATTAATAATGTTAACATATACATACAAAAGAGAAAACATCATTGCAAGTTATTGTCATTTTGTTTTGTTTTGTTTTCTTTTTTGGTGGTACCAGGAATCAAACTCCCGACCTTGCATTTGTGAGGCAACTACTTATTCCACTGAGCTATCTCACCGGGCCCACATTGCTAGTTTTAAATGACTTTTCTTTGATATTCAGATAATTTTAGAGCTATCAAATGTAAAACTTTTCTTATTTACACAAGCAACCCTAATGAGCACAGATATAGAAATGTTGGTATATAAAATATACAAACTAAAAATTTCTCATGTCCAATTATTTCTTAGTTCAACTACAATAATTGCAGACTGACTATCTCATAAACACAGTTTAAAAAATAAAATTCACATTATAAATCAGGATAATGATTGCAATTAGTTTAATTGTGTTAAATATTGAGAATATCAAATGGCAGATAAATTTTCAATAGAAAAAGCTTTGCAAAAATAAATTATCCTGATATTCCATGGATTTTTTTTTCATATTTTGTCTAAATTAAAAGTCTAGAGGCTGGATATAAAAGGTAAATACTTTAATGAAAAAAGGGAACACATGTAAAGTACAATATTTTTACCATAAAATGCTACCTTTAACATTTACAAATATTAATAATTTATCTTAAAGCAGAATGTCTTAAATAGTTTAAAATGCAAACATGTAACTCAGATAAATGTATTATGTATCTCCCTCAAAAAGATACAGAAGTTTATCAAGAAAAAAGTTACTTGATATCAATACTTAACTTTTATTACAGCATTGCTTTGAGCATGCAGAGACTCCTTTCCTCCCTGAATAATTCTAATCTTACTGCCACATCTTTGGTCATTTTTATCTCACCTATCACTGGCACTCTTGTAACTGGTTTCATTACTTCCTTAATTGAAGCCGGACTAGTGTAATAGAAGTTCTCCATTTAATGTCATTTCTTTCTTTCCGTACTGCATACTTTTCTATGGATCACTCATACTGACATATAAAACTAATCCATCCTAACCTTTTGGAGTGTTTATTCTTTCTATAACCTAAGCCTAATGATAGTATCCAAACATTTGGTGTCAGGAGAATATAAGACTAAAAAAAAACCCCAGAATTTCCCAAAGGATCACCAATTTTTATTTTATAAATGCTGTCCCCTGATACTCTAAAGTATATATCCAGAGAAATCAGCATAGATTACATAATACATACTTGTATTTCCACTAATGGAAATAAAAATTATGATTTTCAGGAGAATCACCTGAGATATACATAATCATTCAGTTTAGAGTTTGGCAATGACTACAGTGTAATTTACCACTGGAGAATTTACCATAGGGCCCCCAGTTAAGCAACTTGATTTGGGCTGTGAGTGAAATGCAGTTGATCCAATCTGTCTAGTTCATCAAAACATCACTTGTGCACAATTCTCAGCCAATTCTGTGACTGAGAATAGAGTGAGGAGGATGCCTGGAGATATTTGATCTGAGATATAGATGACAAGTGAGGGAAGAGGCATGGGAGATGAGTAGCTCCCCTTCATCTCTAGCAGCCTGATAGAGCACCTGGTAGGGGATATCATTCCCTATGGTCTGTTAAATCTAAGGCTCTTGAAACTGTTCAAAATGTCTTCATGAGAAGGTTTCTTGAGGAAGACTTTGCGGGATAATTCTTAAAATCAAGAGTTGCAAATAATCTTCATTTTTCATGACATCTAAGGTATTTTTCCATTAGGTAATAGTTTTTACTCTACTCCACTATAATCATGTTTAGAATGTGTATTCCAGTAGCCATATTTTCAATTTTTTTTATTTGTTTTTCTTATCATATCTTTCACATGCCCTTGGATCATTGATGTGAGATATAAACATATTTTTATAAAAGTAAATTTAAACAACTTAGGGCCTGGTTTTGTTTTTTGTTTATGATAACATAATAACTGAAGCTGCATAACCTATATGGAGAAAGATTTAATTTGGTTAAAGTTTCTGGCAACATGAAAGCCAAAGACTAAATGCTAACAGTAGTTAAGGGAATCATGATATTTCAACTGATAACAGAAAGTGGAATAATAAGTGTGCTCATGTGGAAGAGAAGAAAGGGACTCAAACTGATATAATAACCAGGCATTGAGCTAACACAAAAGCACTGATTCTTTCATGAGCCTTACCTAGTGATTCAAGCCCTTCCAATAGGCACCTGTGATGCATTGAGAAGTTAAAGTTTCAACATTGGAGATTCTGGGGGCACACTCAAACAAATGTCACTCTCTGAGTGCAGATTATAGGATAGAGGGCATCCTTGGTAGAAGGTTTCCATTTGATATTAGGAAAAGAGATACATTATTTACAGGAATGATCAAGATAGAATCTTGAACTCTCATAAGAGGTTCACATAATGCCTTACCTATTTTTTCTTGATCATTTCTCAGGAAGAGCATGACACATTCCCTCTTTAGAGAACCGTGTTTTTTAACCACACTGCTTTCCCTGGGTGCTTGGTCAACAGGAACTGAATAATTTGGAAGCTCTTAGTCCTCAACTGAACAGCTTGAATGACAAAAGCTGTAATGCAGATGCATTCCTGAGTTGAACACAAGACACTTAAAAAAATGCAACTATGCCTCCCCAAGTCTTCAACTGTTATTTTCATTCTCTCTGTAAATTTTTATCTTCAAAATATCACATAAGTAGAAACATGTAGTGTATGATCTTTAAACTCAATTCATCAATATATATTTAACACTTGTCATCTGTCTCTGCATAATTGTTTC